CGTACCCTTACATAATATTCGCATTTGGCCGTAGCCTTACAATGGTATCATAACAGGAGGGGCTCAATATATTTAGTCAGCATATTCTATATATTATGTTTATAAGGTATATAATAATATATATGTACATGTATATATGTAGGCTATACGTATATAGGTGACAAAGTATAAGTGACGATGTCACCATCGTTACAGTAAGTTTATCGAATTTTGATGTGTACAACACTTTGAGCTTTACTATAGAATTTTAGCATACAGTTTTTTCTTGCTTATTCGGTATTCGACATGAAACAAATATATTTCTCATACAATTAGCTAATGTGAAGTAGCCCAAACTTTTAAATCATTTATGTAGATGACAAATATAATGTTTACTTAGCATACAACTTTAAAAAAACATTTCAATCTATTTAATAACCTATTATCGCTTTTTAATATACATATACAACTTAATTGTATTCATATATAGTAAATATATTATATATTGACATATTTATATTTTGCTAAATATTAATTTAGTTATTCTATTAAAGAAATTACGTAATACAAGAGTCTGGTATTTAAATTTATATTAATTTATTAACAGTTTCGATCATCAATTTTTATTTTAGATTTTGACGGAATAAATAAACAAATGACTATAAGTTTTTTTTTTATGCTCAAAAAGCGGGTAAGTGGATGTCGCTCTGCTGTACATTAGGTATCTAGGAGGTCGCTGTAGTTGATGGTATTAAATTTGAATTCAATGGTATCATCTCATTGTATACGAAAAACGATTCTGGGCGGAGACGATGTGCAGTTTAGGATATTTTTTATTGTTATTACTTATTAACTGTATGGTAACCGGTAAGTTGAATTAATATTATTCTTAAATTATCAGTGATGCTGGAAAAATATACCTATGTAAAATTGGGCTATTTTGGAACCGAATTACAACAAAATGATAAACGTTATTCTTTGGGTTAATATGCAATTTTGTCCAAATTTGAACTTAAAATGTCTATAAAAAATAACTGTATTTATATATTTCTTAGATTTTTTAGTTGCGGAAAACCTGCTTAAGTAGAACCTTGTTTTAAATTTTCAATCCTTAGCTATAAAAATTGAAAATTGTATACATTTTTAACTACAAAATCATTTTCAATTTGATAAATATTTTCAACATTTGAACTTTACATGCTTATTAATTAAAATCATGAATATGTATTTTTAATATTTTTTAACTACTAGTGTAACAAGTTGTCACGAGTCTTGTATTGAATTTTCATGCTTTTCGACCCAACCAATATAATATTATTGACATTAATAGAAAAAAAATGAAAATTGGAAATGTCCGTCAACAGCGTAAAACTAGTCAAAATATTTTGAAACATATATCAAGTATATGAATTGATAAAATAAACATATGGTGTAAATTTGATGTATCTACAGTAATTTGTTTTTGAATTACAACAAAATAATAAAATTACACCATGAGAAATAGAGTGAATATCCAAGGTTTCCAATAATATCAACTTTAAACGCTCATAAAAATTTAATTTGACTTTCTGATAGAAATTTTTTTTTAATAAAGGTAGACAAACTCATAAGGAATCTTGTATTACATTTTTCAATCTTAGACAAAAATAGAAAAAATTTTATGAATGTCAAACTAAATATAATTTGCTAATTTTCGAGATTTTTCCGAATTTTGTCGGAATTCTAAGTTTAAATGCTTATACGAATTTATTGTGGATTTGAGCTCAAGTAAAAACCAAAATTTATTTTTTCGAAAACTAGTTTTGAGTAAAAATTCCCATTTTCCTTAATTTTTTTTTGGTTTTCCCTGTTGCTTTTGAAAACTATTGGGAATTTTAAATTTTGACCTCCCGAATGCAGCAACTAGATTCACTTTCCTACCAGAAATGTTGTTGTTGAAGAAAATCGAAGCACTTTTACTGCAAGAAACTGTGATAACAGATACAAAAATAAAATAAATAATAAAATAAATATAAAAACACACATCATTGTAAAATCAATACATTTATCGCTCCACTCAGGATCTAAAATTAAAACATCTAGTATCGTAACTTAATAAATGTGGAGAAAAAAATCATAAACATAATGCAATTTTAACGTAAAAACTATTTTTAAGAATGTTATTGATTTTCTTCGTTTGTTGCATTTCAATATAAATACTTAACATGTTTACAAATGTTTATATTTACATTTTCTTTATAATCATAATCGAGTATATTATATTAATCAATTTACACTTGAAACAGTTTCGTTTCCGAGCCATCGCAAAATGTAATGTATATCATAAATATATACAGCATTGATAACTTTGTTGTTTTAATAAACAAAATCAGCCGCAGTCAGTCTTTTAGCTAGTACCACCTGTTGACTGAAATAGGAATATATTCTTAAAAACTAGAAAATCGTATTATAAAATAGATAGTCATTAACTTTTGTGTACATAAAAGAATACACAAATACACAATGTACACACTTGTGAATATAAATATAATAATACATTTTTTAACTTATTTTAAGTATATAATAAAAAAACATTGACCATTTTATAGAGTCTTATAATCAGCAATTTCTGTTAAATAGAAATAGGTACGAGCAAACTGGTGATGCTTTTAGACTCCCTGCGACATGCATAATTATTCATTGGATTTTTATTTATTTAAAGTAAACATGATGCAGTGAAAAATAATAGATTCACGTAAAACAAACAATGGGAATACTTAATAACAACAAAAATTCAAAATATTTTCTATGTTGTATTCAAATATTAATACCAAAACTTTTACATCTAACAGAGTCCATTATACTATTATTAGATTATATTGATAAATTAATTAATATTTTTAAATGCTTGAAAAATACTGTTTATGTTAAATTGAATTTGAATAATAAGGAATATTGTTGTCTTAAACAATAATGTTAACAGTTGCCTTAAGTTAATTTTATAAAATCCACACAGCTCAAAATGGAAATTAGCATGTAATCTCCGTAATGAAAAAAAAGCAATCTGAAATGCAATAATACAATGATTATTGATTAGTTGGTTATCGGTTGGTTCATAATGTTCACTAATAAAGTTTAATATATCAATTTACCTTTCGGCGAAGTGTGGGATTAGCTGTTATGGATAGTCTATTTAAAATCAAAGTTGTCCGCCTCACCTATAAATAATGGAAAAAAGCTAGATTATCAAATCGACATTTTTACATAATACACAAAAGTCTTCCAAATACCAATATTAAATTAAATATGTATGCTTATGAAGATATAAAAATTAGAATAATAATTTACCTCTTTTTCGGTGGTCTGGCAAAGGTAATACAACATGGCGATGTCGAACAGTCTCATCAATACGTCAAGAATCGGGAAAAAACGGTGTACATCGACTTTAACAAACATGCCTTTAAATAGAACATAGTGATATAACATATAGATGATAGACGACAGATATCCCATTATAATATTAATAAGCACTGGTGCTCCGACAATGGATCTGTTTATGGCATTCAGGCTATCCAAAGTACTAGTATACATAGTGAACAATTTGCCAATGGGAATGATACCCTTCGATATTTCGTCGTTTAGTTTGTACACGATTATTTGGACGAAAGTTATTAAAAACATGTACTCGTAAAACATCCAACGGTTATATACAAAAGTGAACCACCATAAAACCTAAAATAATAGTATGATTACCAAGTCGTGGTTATTAACAGTGAATACAGTAGTCGTCATGGTTTCAAACAAATTATGTGAAGCATAAAATCTAATGCTTTGTAACAAATACATACTCACCCTATTTTTTTTTTTTTAGTTTATCAATCCGAAGATTGGCTTTACTCACCCAATTGAAAATTGGAAAATTGGGGATGATGATAAAACCTATTGCTGATATGATATACATCATACAATGCACTAGTAAACCAACGATGCATATCCAAAATATTTTCGTTTTTAGAATAACTTCACTGTTAAACTGTTTGAATACATCAAGTGTGTCCATACATTTCTCCAATATATTTGATAATTTATTATCGAAAAAAAATCGCCATGTAATGGAGAAGAGTGGTCCCAATAACTTAAATTCAACACTGGCAATCAATACAATTGAAATAGGCTCCAAAATGTTCAATATATTATTCATCGCCTGAGAATGGTTATAAAAAATATTATTATGATTACAACAATAATTATTATTATTTTAATGTTCTAGTATAGGTATAATTTGAAAATCTAATTTTAAATTTCAGTGAATATTATTAAAATATTATGTATTTTAATAATACACAAATTGTATTATAATATTATTATAATATTCATATACGATGTTATTTTAATATTTTACTTTTTGTCCGCAACCCTGAGACCCACTTTAGATGTATAAATATACATTGCATTGTACTACACTGAAAGGTTAGAAAATACTTTATAAATATTAGTATTTTCATTTTTGAATTTCTGACTCGCAGTTCATGAATTGTGATTTATCCTTTATTTCGTACTTAACATATTTTATTGTATACTTATAATAACACTTAATATATTAAAATACTAATAAGTCATAAGTATATAAGTCATCTTAATTATGAATAAATAAATAACAATTATTATATAAAGATAAATAAAACTTTATCAATGTTTGTCTTATTGTTTATAGTTATATATAAATATAAATAGGTACTTAAAAAGCGTACTATAAATTCAAATATAATTATTTCTATTTTATACCCATTTATTTCCATTATATATATTGATTAGAAATATAAAGGTTAAGACAAATCGCCAAGCATAACTCATCACCATCCATTGTCTTTTGATAAATTGTACACTACCGTTACCGGTTAAAATAAAACACCAATTAAAAATTGTTGGCAAATAAATAATGTCCATTATATTGTATCAATTAAAAATATGATTAAATATAAATTTACCAACTGATGGCACGTATTATTATAACACTTGTAAGCTTTGTTAATACTGAGGCAATAGCTTTTTAATTTTTTATAACTAATAGAAGTCAAAAAAATATTTTTCATTGAATAAATAGGTACTTAATGTGAAGTGGGTTTGTACAATTATTCAAACATTTATATAAAACCAATACATTTACTTTAAAACATTTTTATCTATTTACTAATCTAGCTGCATCTAATAGAACCTATATTTATTGTATATAGTAATGGAGTAGTACGGTTAATGAAAATAGATATTACGATGGTCAGATACTTGTAATATTTATTAAATTATGAACTATCACAAACATAGGTACATTTATATTTTTACTATTGTTATTCCTACTTAAAATATTTACCATTCACTTCAAAGTTCAAATAAAAGTAAAATGCTTTCATTTAATTGATTTAATATTTAGTATTACAATATGCTTGTACACAATAAAGACCACCATGGATATAGTTAAGGGAAGAGGTTTTATTAAAAAAAAATATGAAATTTGTTATAGTTTTTATTTCTAATTCATAATACAATAATAATTGCATTTTAATCGAATGGTATTTTTCTATATTAGTCCTATTTTTTTCCATTACATACATTGATAAGAAGATATATAGATGTTGAGGCAAATCGCCAAGTATAACTCAGCATTCATGTTCTTTTGATCAATTCCACACTATTGTTACCCTTTAAATGTTAAAATAAAACGTCAATTTATTTTTAACTATTATTTTAAATTCAACAATCTATGCATATTTTGTATAGTAGGCTTAAACAATCCTCGAAAAAACAATGCGTCTTTCCAGTACATTTTTTTTTTTCATAAGGAGAAATATATGAGTAGTTTCTATTAAATTTTCAAATCTTAGATATAAAAAGAAATTTTTTATGAATTTCTAAAGAAATACAATTTCCTAACCTATATTTTTTAAAGATGTGTGATTTTGAAGAATTTGATCAAAATTCTAACTTAAAACACTTATATAAAAATATTCAGATTACGTATTTTTGATATTATGAATTGATATAATAATTTATAAACACATTATGAGGAACCTTGTATTAAGTTTTCTTGTATTCACTTTTTGACCATACTTGAAAAAAAAATTAAAATATTTTTAAAATATGTACTGATCATAATTGTATCATGTACAAAAAATGATAATATACAAACATTTGTTAAAAATATCAAGTATCTATGGTTTTATTCGTTTTAAGTTACTCTAAAAAATCGAGTGTGGTGAAAAAATATCCGTTTTTTCATAATTTTTTTTCTGATTATGATTTTGAAAAATACTGAGAATTTTCAGTTTCGAACGTTCAAAAATACCAATCAAATGTCCTATTTACCACCGAAAAATACTGCCCCGAGGCATAGCGGTAATAACTCATATCTAAGGTCTAAAAATAACGGACTTATACCACTTTACAACATAAGTTAAAACAGAGCTGGTCAAATCGAATTTGAATAATAGTCATTAGCTTATAGATTGTACGAGGGTAAGGCGTCGTAGGTGTAAGTGCTCGTTTCACTCCATTCGGCTCATACCTACGACAATTAATAATAATTACAAATTTCAAATATTAGATTTTGAATAAGTACATACAACGTCCAAAAAATAAAAACAACCCCGAGATGGCGACCATTCTTGGCGAATCGTCCTATACTGTGTAAAATAGTTTGGTCCATAGGCGTAATTTTAGGGGTGTTAGGGGGTGCTGAACACCCCCAAATTTTTAGTAGCATCATCAAATTTTTACTGGTCATAATATTATATTCATAATATTATATCATGGGCATTATAAAAAATGTACTACTCTGACATCATTTTCATAATAATAAATAACAATAATATATTATATAATAATAATAACACATACATATTTTATATTATAGCCTATAGGTATTTGTTTATATTAAAGCCCCTCAACAATTTAATTTTTGAGGAATAGTGTTTAGACAATTATTTCGTTCCTTGCGGTAACTGCTCGTCTTTGTGTTTAATACCTAAATTATCATTATTGTGTAATATACTCCACACCAATCACCATCATACATATTATACTATATCATGCACGTCTTATGTAGTCAAAACATTCAAAATCAATCTATGTACTTGAAATAGCTATACGGCTGACAAAATAGTAAGTAGGTACTTACAGTTTCCAATGATCCAATTAAAAATGTAATGTAATGTTTGAGCGCATAAACGATATATTATAATTTATGAATTTGCATTGATCGGAGCATTTTTCAATTTTAGCAAATTCATGACAAGAATAAATTATTAAAGATGTTGAATATATGATCTGAACGGTGCAAGCTAAACTTTTTTATCAAATCAACATTTTTAAAATTTTTTAAATTGAACCATTTAACCTTCATTTTTTTAGTCGATAAAATAGTTTTAATAAAAATGTATATAGTTTATAGGTCCTTTAAAAGGTTAGTCTGATGATGGAGTAAAAATGAAGGGTCGCTTTAGTCGAAATAAATTTAGCATACTCCTATATTTCACCCAAATTTTGCCGATAGGTTAGATTTTAGTATTAATCAATATAATATTTCTATGATAAATCATATTTTTAACTATAAGAGTGCCCATATTTATAATAAGTAGGTACTTGGGTACAGTGTGAGTATTTATTTATTTTTTTTTTTTTTATGGTGAGGATAACATATTATTTTAAGTTTGGGAGCACATAACGATACGTTTTAGGTAACGCAGTATATGTACACTGTACAGTCTATAATTTATTAACCTATAATAAATACCTATTTGTTGGGTATTATCAATTATTTTATAATATATACCTACTTATTTTCCTACTTATTTTCTTAATATTATACAATAATAAACATTTAAATTTTAATAAGAGCTAAACTTAAAATATACCAAATATGTTCAAATCATTAGATAATATTATTTATTCAACGATAAATAAACAGATGGATAGAATTATGGAAGCGTTTAAGGCAACTTTGATAATAATATTTGAAACTGAAGAAGTAAAATAATGTGGTTTTTTAATATTTAGTTCTAAAACTTGCCAAGAGATGGCAGCATATAACATCTCCTATAGTAGAAGTAATCATCCAAAATCATAATAATATTAAACTCATATCATAGTTTATAACAGTACTGTATAAAACAACAACGACTTATGCCTTATCCATATTTAACTATCTTATAACGAAACGGATAGAATGTCGTGAAAGTTATTAACAAGAGTACCTTACTTAGGGTACCTAAATAACTAGTTTCGATTAAAGCATCAAATCTTTAACGTTAACAAAAGGAAATATTGAATTTAAAACTTATTTACACAAATATGTTACATTATTATTATACAATACATCGAAAGATTTAAATAAAATACAGATAATTAAAAATAAAATTATAACAATATTATACAACTTATTAACTAATAAATGTTAAGTACTACATAATTACGCATGTCTTTTAAGAAGCCTGCAAATGTGTCCTTATTCAGGAGTAATATTTAGGCAATGTACAGTTTCGTTGCCACAGGCCTTAGCATTTTGTGTTAGTTGTCAATGATGATTAGTGTGAGTGTGATGGTATGCAGTTCTACGTACGCATTACATACGTACACGTGTAATCAGCAACACTGACTAAAAATAAAAAGCAAGAATTTTCGCTCAAAACACACTCTATAGAAAAAAAACTCTCAAGCATCGTAGAGAAGTCTGATTTAATTAAAGTTTTTTTCGTTAAAAACAGGATAGATTTCTCACTGGAGCGCATTGGACAAACATAATGAAAATCACAAAAGTTTATGAAAATTAGTCATACGCAAAATCGCATTATATGGTTTGGTAAGAGAATTTTGGAAAACCAAGTCAAATGCATCCCGTAAAAAGTATTTTTTTTTCCAAAAAAAAAATTATCGAAATCAGATCACTCTACAAGACTTGGGAGTTTTTCCTATTAAGCATGTTTTGGAGAGGTTAATAAGTTTCATATTATATTTCTTCTTTAAGTTATAACTTTATCAAACATTAATTATAAAATATCAATCAGTCAATCAGTCATACGACCTGTTTAATCAGGTCATACACTGGTCCATTGACGAAGCAAATATTATGCCAAATATTACAGTGATGACTTCAGATTTAAAACTGTGTTCGGCGTCCTCCCACAATTATATATAATTTCGACGGAGCCTAAAAGTCCGACAAAACTCGACGTAACCGCAACATCTGTTTGGATCTGGGAAGATGCAGTGCTGCGATAGACATGTGGTCACAGTTTAACATATAGACGTCGTTCGTTATGGTACCAGACGAAGAAAATAGTCCACAAGAGCTGTATGCTAATTGCTAGATCATATTTATAACATAACTCTTCTAGTCTTCTGGTCCCAAACCATCTGCAAAGTTTAACGCTAATAATAAAATATATGAAATATATAAAATTCAAAACGTTGTAGGTTTAAACAAACAAAATTAGCCGTAGTCTTCCAGCTAGTAAGAGCTGTTACCTAAAATAAGAATATAATCTTCACAAAACACAAAATCACAATATAAAATATATAATATATATTCCCTAACCTCTGAGCATATAAAATAATACGAAAACACACAATTTACACACTTGTGAATATAAATATAATAATGCAATTTTTTAACTTCTTTGAGTCACGCTAAGTATATAACATTAAACATTGACTATTTTATATAGCCATAAAATCGGAAATTCGAGCTCCAACTAAATATAAACACAGTCAAATTGGTGCTTTTGGAGTCCCTAGTCTCTACGTTATGCATATTTAAACGTTGTATTTTTATTTATTTATAGTATACATCCTAAAGTGACAAATTAAAGATTCGCTTACAACAAACGATAGGAATAGGTAATAACACCAAAAAATCGAAAATATTCTCTATGAATAATTGTATTCAAATATTATACTTATATTGTAAATTAAATATAAATCAAACCTTAAACCTAACCATTAAAGTAAAACTATTATCATCTAACAGAATCTTTTATTATGTTATTAGATTATATTGATAAATTAATGAATACTTTTAAATGCTTGAGAAATACTATTTATGTTAAACTGAATTTGAATAGTTAGAAATATTGCTGTCCTAAATAATAATTTTAACAGTTGCCTTAAGTTAATTTTATAAAATCCGCACAGCTCAAAATGGAAGTCAGCATGCAATATTCGTAATGAAAAAAAAGCAATCTGAAAAATGTATAGAAAAAAAAATGACGATTGTTTTGTATTCATTGGAGCTATAGATTCGTATTTATAAATGATATATCAATTTACCTTTCGGCGAAGTGTGGGGTTAGCTGTTATGGATAGTCTATTTAAAATCAAAGTTGTCCGTCTTACCTATATACATTGGAAAAAAAGCTGGATTATCAAAATTAAATTTTTACATAATACACAAACGTTTCTCAAATACCAATATTAAATTAAATATGTATGCTTATGAAGATATAAAAATTAGAATAATAATTTACCTCATTTTCAGTGGTCTGACAAAGGTAGTACAATATGACGATGTCGAACAATCTCATCGATACGTCAAGAATCGGGAAAAAACGGTGCACATTGACATTAACGAACAGGCCTTTAAATAAAATATAATGATACAACAAATATATGATAGAAGACAGGTTTCTTATTATAATATTAATGAGGACTGATGCTCCGACAATGAATCTGTTTATGACTATTAGGCTCTCCATAGTGATAGTATACATTCTGGTCAAGTCGCTGATGGGAATGATGCCCTTCAATATTTCATCATTTAATTTGTACAAAATTATTTGGACGAACATTATTAAAAACATGTATTCGTAAAACATGCAGCGGTTATATATAAAATGACATGACCATATAACCTAAAATAATGGTGTGATTACCAAGTCGTGGTTATTAAACAATAATTCGATATTTACTAACATCAGAAACCAATAATAAAATACTCACCCATTTCAAAGCAGAATAGTCGGGAGTGGCCATATAATAACCCATTAGTGATGTGATGTACATCATAAAATGCACTAGTACACCAGTAATGAAAATCCAAAATATTTTCGTTTTAAGTATGACTTCACTGTTAAACTGTTTCAATACATCAAGTATGTCTATAAATTTCTCCAACATATTTGATAATTCATTATCGAAAAAAAATCGCCATGTTATGGAAAAGAGTGGTCCCAATAACTTCAATTCCACACTTACTAGCAATACAATTGAAATAGGCTCAAAAATGTTCAATATATGATTCACGGCCTGGGAATAATTATAAAAAGTATAATTATTATTTTTTATGTTACCTACAACAATTATTACTAAATCTAATTTTAATATTCAGTAAATATTATAAACATAAAATAAGAAAAACATAATATGAGATTAAATTTAGTTTTATTATTTATTTTTAACAATACGTTAATGGCATTACAATTGAGTTTTATTTTTCAATTTCCATACCCATTTATTTCCATTATATGCATTGATTAGAAACATAGAGATTAAGGCAAAGCGCCAAGTATAACTCATCAGCATCCATGTTCTTTGAATTAATTTTGTACTACCATTGCCGGTTAAAATAAAACACCTATTGAATATTTTTAGCAAATGAATAATGTTCATTATGTTGTATCATTTAAAAATGTATTTAATTAATTAGTTGACCAACTGACGTTACAAATAACATGTGTAAGCTTTGTTGTGAGACAGTAACTTACGTTATTTTTCTTAATTGTAGATATGAAACAAATATTGTTTTTTTCAAACAAATACGTTACCTAGTTGAAGTGGATTTAAATAGTTTTTTGTAAAATCAAAGTGGATAAGTATATTTATTTAAAAAAAATTTTATCAGGTTACTTATCTTATTGCTTTTAATACTATTCATTATATGTATTATGTATACTAATATCAGTAATATCATTAAAGAAAATAAATATTACAAATGGTCAGGTATTTTAATATTTACATATTAATTTTTGAATTGTCGCAAACATCAATTATCATTATTATTCCTACTTTAAATATTGACCATTTAATTCTAAGAAAATTATAAAGCTTTTATTTAATTGATTTTATATTTAATATTATTATTTTTAATATGCCTTAAGCTTGTACACAATAAAGCTATAGTTCGGGCCCTAGCCGCCTCCGCTGAATAATATTTTTAATTTTTTTAATTTTTCTCAAACATTAACTCCTAAATAAGTTGATCTTCATTGCATTATCTTGTTAGTTTTTGACATTAATTCAATATAGTTTTAATTGATCTGTTGTTTGATAAATGATAAGTAGACTATATTTGTATATATAGTGTTGTGGGTACCATATACAAATAATTATTACCTATTTAATAGGTAAATAACCCTAGACGACGAACTTGAGGGGTTCAATAAATACGTTAAAAAATTACTAGTGAACTATAACTATTTAACTAGTGTAGATATTAAGAAGTGGGTAAGTGGGTACCACTATCAATGACTATCATATTATATTAATGTTATTACCTAATTATTTTAAATTTCTATCAAAAGAACTTATGAGAAACCTTTTATTAAATTTTTAAATTACTTTTTAAGCTTTTAAACTCAGCAAAAAATGTTTTATCTACATTTATAGAAAATTATATACATATATAAATAACTTAAAACGATTCAAAATATTTTGAAAATTGTATCTTGTATAGAAAATTATAATATAAACATTTGGTGTACATTTAAAGTATCAGCGGTTATCAGTTTTTGAATTACAACAATAAATATGTAATATTATTTGAGAAGAAATAGTTATTTTCCAGTTGATATTTATTTTATTTATTTAACTATCCACAAATAAAACTTTTAAGAAGATATCTATTAAGTAATTTGGAGGTGCTGAAGCCCCGTTTCTATTTTTTCATTAACTTTATTATTTAAATGAATAAAATATAAGATATTATGTAAAAACGACTTTGAATTAACTGATAGGTTGAAGATTTTTGCGTGTAATATAATACAAGCCGATATATCAAGTATGCTTATTGCTCACACTATTTTTTAATTTAATAAATGTATTAGTTTATAGGCCAGGTAAATATACGTTAAGCTGAATATTACATTTTTTTTATAATTTAAATACAATAATTATAAAGCATAATTATCCAATATTTAAAGTATACTCGTATAGTAGTTAGTAGTTTTATTGTAAATACCTACTCAGGAACTTTTTTCATAAAGATGATAGGATTAACAATTGTAAATGTTAGTAGTTCCCTTTGAAAAAAGAAGATAGTATCTCAACAGTTAACTACTTATATTAAAAAATAAAATCTAAGTATTTGAATGTATGGTCTTTAATGATACTAACAAATTTCAAAAATCAGATTTTGAATAAATTTATTGTGAAAAGATAGAACTATAAAATTGGTGTCGAGACTCGCAATGCTCGGTTAATCACTCTGTATAGTACCTATTAACAGGTTATATTACAGCATTTTATGACAAATCATAAAATACATGTAACCAATGTTGATAACAATAATTATTACAGTACGAGTTTATTTTGTTATAAATAATACTAAAGAATTTTTTAAAATGTGTGAAGTAAAAAAGTTTAGTTCTTATTTATTACAATACTGTGAATTTTTCAAACATTTAGTGCTAAAACTTTCAAAGAGATGGCAGCATATAACATAAAAAATCATGAATCATAATAGTATCAGTGGCGGTTATAAGGGGAGGGCGAAAGGTGGACCGCCCCCCCCCCCTTGGGATTTGGTTTTTTTTTTTAATTTAGTATATCACTGACCCACAACATCATTCTACAAATTTTTGAATATTATGATTTGATAGCAAAATATTTTTTCGTTTTAATCACAGATAATATATTATCATAGTATTGTATATTATCAACTCTATGTCTCGGTCAGGCACGCTTAACATATTAACTAATTACAGTTATCACTTATCAGTACTAGACATTCATTATTTGATCGTTGGTGATTTATTTTGAAATGCGTTTATTTGGATTTTTCTAAATTGTTGTAATTTCATATTTCCATTACCTAGTACCTATTAATTTGAATTGTTTTATTTAACAATTTTTTTTTAATATGTCAATGAAGCGAATAAGCAGTTATTTTGACATTACATCCAAAAAATCAAAACCTAATTTGCCATTGGAAGAAGATCATAATACAACCTATGGCACTAGTACAGGTACAGCTGAACTTATTTCTATACAAAAACCTGAAGCTGAGCTTGGTAAATCCATACAGTCTGAAATTACAGATGAATTAGATATAGCAAATTTTACATGTCGAAGTAAAATTGTAAGTGATTATATAAAATCAATTATACTAAAAAGGAGCAATATTCCTAGTTCTAAGTTTCAATATCCATTTTCTCTTCATAATAAAAAAGGAAAATAAAAATATTGTAACATTAATGCAGCTTACACCAAAGTATCTTATTAAAATAAAAAATGAAGACTTGCATAATTATTTGTCAACAATTTTTGAAATTGTGACTGGAAATTATACATATTTTCAAGCTTCATCAAAAGATTTAATACAAAATGAATTAAATTTATGGTTTACTAAATGGAAGAGACATGAATCTGAAGGTAAATATACTTACATAATATTTAAATAAACATTTTAATATCATTAATTTTATTTATATAAAATACTACATTTTTTAGGGGAAAATATTCCAAATAATGGGTTGGAAGCTCTAATTTCGTGTCCGGAATCAGTATTTCCTAATATTCATTATATTCTTAATATTATTTGTTCCCTACCTATTAGTGTTGCTTCAGCAGAACGAAGCTTTTCTACGCTTAGAAGGTACCTACCTGTTATAAGTAATGTATAAATCATTTGACTTTTGAGTATTAGGTATTGCTCAATAGTCAATAAACATAAAAAATAAAAACTCAAATTTCAAGGTATATTAGTATATATTATTATATTTATTTTAATATTTACTAAATGTATAGTGGTATAGTGGTATACACTATACAATACAAATGATTAAGAAAATTACTTTTCTAGTTTGCTTCACTCTACTAAATTTAAAAATATTATTTGCTTATATTATGGAAAAATAAGTACCTACTTAATTTTCTTTGCTTATGCTTTTCATAATATTCCTTTATAAGTATTTTTACTAAAAATATGCATTAGTTTTGCATAGTTGAATGCTTTTAAGTAACTGATTGATTAATATTTTTTTATTTAAAATGTTTCAATGCTATAACTATATTGCTACTATGCATGTGATTTGCTTTATTTATTTAGATTGAAGACATGGTTGAGATCAACAACTGGTGAAGACCGATTAAATGGGCTGGCACTGCTTCATATCCATAGAGACATTAATGTTAATATAGATAATATTATTACACGCTTTGCTAAGCAAAAAAAAAGGCATATGCTTTTATTATAATTATATTATATAGTTTTATACCCAAGTCAATACATTCATATCTTTATTGTTTAAACATTAAGTTAAAGTGTGTTAATAACTTAATATTATTAATATATAAATATTATTATACATTTATATTTTATACCTATAATACCTTGAGTATATTTTATATTATATGTATATACTTTGTATTATATATAGTTATATATATATAAATGCTATGGGGTGGGGGAGGGTTGGTTTTTATTTTCGCCCCCCCCCCCTTGAACAGCATGTATAACCGCCACTGAATAGTATATAATATTCTACAGCTCTATCTAGTAAGATCAAATGTTCTATAATCACAATGTAGATAGTGCTATCTAAAGCCGTATAATCAAAACTGTATTTATGTACTTTCTCCTTTACAAGGTTCCTCATAAGTAGTTATAATGGCAGTTGAGAAATATTAAAGATTCATAGGTATAATTTTTTTTTGTAAGTATTAAACCTCAGATTTATCAAAATCTCAAAAATTATCAAATTATTTTGTAATTTAAAAAAAATGAAATGTTCAATTTTTATAACTAGAGTTGAAAATCTAAAACGAGGAAATGACCATACTGTAACCAAACAATCTTAATATGCATAAACACAGTTTTTTCCTTATAGATATTTCAAGTGAAAATTTGTACGAACTTACATATTAGAACCATGATTAACGATTTTAGTTATTTTGTTAGATTTTAAAAATATTATTTGTAGGTTGTTACTTGAGACTTTTAGAGTAGGTCCATTATCATATTTTATTCATACATCGACTACATTTTCGAATGTATTTTTTGGCAAAAATGAATTAAAAATGAATGCCTAATATATTGCTTATTAAAACTATCATTGAGTATATAAATATAATAATATAGGTTTTAGGTAATAATTAATGATACAACCAACCTATGTTCAATGGTTAGTCGGCATTGACTCAAAAGTCAAAAGTTTTTTACGGTATAAATATATAATATATTATGAATGTAATACATGATATAATTATAAATACTATTGTAATAATTAAATATCAATAATATAATAAATGCAATATTTTCGTCTACAATTAAATCACCCTACGATAATACAAACAGTAAAATAAATTACTAATACCATTAAAATTAGTATAATATAAAATAGATAATAATATATTATATAAAAAAGACAGACTCCACTCAGAATCGTTTTTTGTATTTTGTATCATTGAATTCCAATTAGTGACCGCATTACAGTGACCCACTTGAAACCTATTTTACAACAGAATGGTAAACACTTTATTGCATTTTTAGGGCATTACATTCCTTACTCATAAGGTTACTTAAATACATTTTTAAAATATCAAAAATACATAACACAACTTTTTTATAAGAGTTTGATGTTCAAATATTGACATATTAATTTGTCAAAATCCCAAAAATCCCGAAAATTTGCAAATTATTTTATAGTTAAATTTGTATAACATTTTACATTTTATAACATAGACTTAAAAAAATAATCCATGTTGGACACTCGATACCATGGTTAATCTACTCGACTACTCGAGTAGATAACCGTGCTCGATACCTAGTATATAGCAGAGCGACTTTCCTGATGTTTTCTTATCGGCATTATAAATAAATACTGTATACATATTATTTAATGCAACATCAGTACGAATGTTACGTTTCTCTAAATTGATAACAATTTAAAGATAAAAGTAAAAATAAAACTGTCACAAACAGCAAGTTCGCGTTTCATGTATATAAAAATAATAAACTTAAATGTCTCGAAATAATAAGCACAAAATGAATAACATTTCTTTTAAGTTAAAGTTTTTATTTCTGTTTAATCTAGGTACTTATTAAAATTTTAATTTTATGAAATTTTCACGGGGCGGTCGAAAACTTCCGATGGCCTTGAGCGGGCAGACCTGACGTACAGAGTCTACTCCTGACGTAGATAAAGTTCAACCCGTAATGATATATTTATTTTTACGATAAATTAATAATATTTCCAATAAGCTACGAATTAACGAAGTCATAATATTGCATAATATCAAATATGATTATATAGGTAATTCACTTGTGAATCGTATAATTCGTATTATTTACAGACTAAAACGTTTCGGTTTACCAACCGGTAAGTATTTTACATAATCGAAAGTTTGTCGTGATAGCACGGTAGGTAATTATTTTTAAGATTAAGGGACTTAACATGGCTAGGGTGAACACCTATTGCAAGGGACGAATTTGTTTTAGGGCCAAACCCTTGCTACACGTTATAAATTGGAAAAATAAAGCAATTGTCTGACGTGTAATTAGGGGTTCGTACTGGTCGACTTAACATCAATGCTGCGTAACGGTGGGTGCCAGGTGATATATATTATTTTTTCCACTTTAAAATTCACTGGTCGAATGTCTGTTTTTTATTATTATTATTATTTTTTTTTTTTAAATAAAACATACACCTGGAAACCGTAGAATATTATATAGCCGTTTAATAGCGGTAACTATATTATTTACAAGCTACAGCTGATCCGATTCGGGACGCTGGCACGGAACACTTTAGCAGCTAAATAATATGATAATAAATAATAATTGTATAATATTATAATGTGAAATACTGAAATATTATTTCATATACTTTTGAATATTTTAATTATGATATACCTACCATATTATAGCCGTTTAAGCTAATACGTTCTAAGAAAAAGTTTAACAATGTACGCAATATACAATCAAGTGAAACTCGTGCAAATGTTATAATATTGATCAACTTACAGTGTTCATAATTATTTATAATCGGCGGTAAAACTTACAAAATATGAATCAGTATATAAATGAAAATCGGTAATATTTAAGCGTGTTTTAGAAAACATAACGGAACTCGCGTAATTTATCATACCTAAATATTTTATCTGTCTGCACAGTGCACTCTATAGAGTAGGTAATATCTTCGAGTCTCTACGATGATGAAATAAAGCGAGACTTCGTTCTACAAAGTGATATCACTGAGCCGGGAAAACGAAAAAAAACTAAAATAATTTATTTTTAGAACGTAGTACTTACACTTTTAATAAACTATTTACCCAGTTAGTAACTTTTTCGTGATTTATTATATCAATGGTATTGTTTGACAATATGCAATCAAAAATATAACTTACCTGAGCCTTAATATAGTCTTGGGAGATCTCTCTCCTTAATTTAGCTAATTCGCTGTGAAACGTATCCACCACCAACGACTTACATTTAAACTTACATCATAACGTATAGCGACTTCGTTAATAGTGGATAATATTTTAAACTGTTTTATCTAAAACTAAACGTCGATTTATTGCTTTTTATTAGGGCAAGAGAGTAAGTAGGTACAGTCAATTTTTCCGGTCCTAGGTCAATTTAAACGGTCGAGCATAAAAGTGCAAAACTCGGACATTTTGTAGAATCGTGTAAAATTCAGAACTGAAGTACGCGGACTTTTTTTTTGCTCAAAAAGAGTTAATATTTTTTAAATTATAAAAAGTATATGAAAAAAACTAATATATAACTAATAACTAACTACAGTTCTTTTTTTAATTACAACAAAATAATAAAATCGTTCTATGAGAAAAAGTTAGTATACGGATGAATATCCAATGATGACAAAAATTGAACTTCTAATGATCATAAAAAATTAATATAATTTTCCAGTTTAATTTTTTTCGATAAAGGTTGGAAAACCTTTAAGGTATCTTGTGTTAAATATTCAAGTTTTTTGAAACAGCAAAAACATCTATCGATAATAATTTTCATAAATACTAATAAAAATTAAAATCTTGTATGCCCATTGCTTATATGAATAGCTCAAAAATAGAAAAAATATTTTGAAAATGTTATAAAATAAATATAACAATAATAATTTCAATATTATGGTGTGTACAAGTTGCTAATATAATCATTCGGTAAAAATTGATTTTACATAGGGTTATATTTTTATTTAATAACACCAAAAAAACAAAATAGATTTTATTAAACATTGGTTTCGAGTAAAACTTTTAGTTTTTACTTAATTATTTTATTTTTATTTTTCCCTTTTGAAAACTACTTGGAATTTAAAATTGTGTCCTCACGAAGCACCCACTAGATTAACTTTTACTAGAAAAAACCACACACACACACGCATAAAAATAAAAACACAATGTCATTGTAATATGAATACACTCATCGCTCAGCTTAAAATCTAAAATAATATTTAAATGCCATCGAACTTTATAGCATCATAATACGGTACATACATTAATAGGGACTTATATTTATACATATACTTTATGAACATGATACTACAAAGTGTCCAAATTACCTCTCTAAACAATAGACCGTGCAAAGTGATCGTTTATCAATTTGGTTACCTAAGTAACTTGGCTATAAAAGATTAAGTCCGAGTATTTATCTCCAAGACATACGACTTTGGTCCAAAGGTTATTCAGGGCCACAATTATTTAAAACTGCTTCAGAGATTGTCTATTGCCATTTTTATCTTGTGTGCCCCAAGTGTAGTACCTACCTATAAGAATTCTTATTTTATATATTCCAAAATAAAACCTGATGCTGTGCCACCGTTTTAAAAAAAACCGTCGTATACCAACCACTGACTGCATAAACCTGTATACATCTAATGTATACGAGCAATGTGCTAATGATATTCTTTAACAATTGTGCAAAGTATAATAATATTATGTTATACCTCGTGAGAAATAGACGTTGAGCTCAGCAGATAAATTTGCGTGCCTAAACTTTATTGATGAAAAACGGATTCGTCCCAAAAACTGTTTGTCAAACGGAAAATTCATCATACATTATTATTTATTACATTCATGTGCGCACCACGACAATGCTTCATATTGAATAACATTTTAATAATAACTATTAATATAATAAGCGAAAGAGGAAGTTACACTCTGAGCGTGTGTATATAGCAATATCATAGTAATGATATGACGTCTGAACCGAAGTCCGCGAGTAATTTTTTTGTTTTTCACTCATATATTTTACCTGCGCTTCTTGTTTTAAGTCTCCTCTGCGGTGTACGTACATGTCATATTAATATGGAAATATGTATTCGGCCGAGCTATCAGCGCGATGATAGCAATAATAATAATACATAGAATACAGTCGGGCGCAAGGAAAAGGGTTGCCGGCTAGACCACATGCGTTTGGCGGCGACTTGGTGGGGGGTAAGTACCAGCCCTGAAGTTCCGGACCGCTAAACGTAGAATGCCCACAGACCGGTCGGAGGTCGCGTGCGGGCGTTCCAGTTAGTAACAATAATATTCTCGGGGGTAGCACGCACCGTGGCGCAGCACATAACACTATTATAACGGACGTTTTTCATCATTTTTTCGTTTATTTTTTATCATTTGAAATTCGCGTCCAGCTTTTCTCTCCACCGAGTTTTTTCCAACACATCAACCCGCCGCCACCACGTGATAAGACACACGGAGTCGATAATACCGCACGATTATAAAATATAACACCGACTTGCTGGTTTACCGGACATTCGTCCCGGGAACGTTGTAGTATTCAGAACTACGTTCGCCGTCGAGTCCGGAAGAAGATAGAGTTTGGACAGCTGAGGTCCGAATCA